CTTGTCCTCAATATACCTGGGCAGGTGAGATGGCAGGTTTTGCAAACCCCTCCCCAGGTGGGAAAAGTAAGACACTCATTAGTACACCCATCCACCCCACCCCCCACCAAAGGAATAAGAATAATTAAGAACCAGAGCTGGGACCAGAACCCAGGGCTCACTGACCATCACATCACACCACCTCCTCTGAAGTCAGTTCTGGCTCTGGATCACACACCCAGAGCGCACTTCCCAGACAGCGCACCGCCTTCCCTCCCCCTTTATTGACTGGATCCACCCAGTTAAAAAAAAAATTATGATTTTTTAAGTCAGCGCTCCCGCCATATGTGGCATTTATTTCCAGAGGAGGCCTGCGCTGGGTTCCCAGGGACAGATGTTGCTTTGTGCCTGCCTGACACGGCTGGCAGCCCTTGTACAGCTGCCCCAAAGCAGGTGGCCAAGGATGGAGTCCACTCCTGGCCCAGGAGCAAAGATGACAATCTCTGTGGGGCTCAGGCCCTGAGGATACTCTACTCATTCCTCTGCAGCCTGAGACCCCAGGGACATTCCCCCCCCACACACACACACACTCCCTTGGTGCAGAGTCAGACTTTAGAGGGGGCTTAGAGGGAGAGACAGGAGGCCAAGGTGCCTCCATGCCCCAATTTTCAGCCAAACGCAGCTAAGAGAAGGCCCTGGGAGTGGAGAGAAGTCACTGACCCCTTCTATCAGCCATCTGTGAGCTCTTCCCTGACCTAGCTAGCACGATGTGTGGAGGATAAAGGAGGTCCAGACAGATGGCAAAGCGCTTTGGGAAGGAGGGCTCTGCAAAAATGCAAGGGCCGCTGCGAGGCCCGCTTTGGGGTGCGTTTTGTTATCTCACGGGCTCTGAGCCCTCCCTGCTCTTCATCAACTCGCAATCTCAAACTGAAAGGAGGGCACACAACGATCGGAGGAGAAGACCCTACTCTCTGCCACTTGTCTCTCATTTGAAAGTCAGAGCATTGCACTGCAACCAAAGTGAGTGTGTGCGGAGGGGGCGGGAGACTGGCACAACTGAATCTAAAAATACTCGATAAAAATGCTAATCCCGAAGGCAAAGAGAGAACGAAGAAGGAATCTGTCAATCACGAGGCTCCCGCTCCTCACCCACAGCCCCAGCTGTACGGACTGCATTCCTGTTGAGGAAAGACGTGGGGGACAGGGCTGAAGAAAAGAAAGGGAGAGACACCACCACCTCCACGAGCGCGGGCCGCGGGGGCGGGAGGCGGCGGCGGAGGAGGGGCTCCGGCCCGCTGAGCTGAACAAAGCGGGCCTCAACTTTGAGCCTGCAGCTCCCCGGAGTGGGGGTGGCCAATTCCAGCAGCACCCCTCTTTCCCGGAGGTGAAAAGCGAATATGAGGTCTGGAAGTGAGACTGCCGCGTGGAAGCCCCAGACTCTGAATCTACAAATCCAGTGAAGGTTTTGTTTGGGGTCCCCTTTCTGCCCGCGCTCCCACCCAACCACCCCATTCCCCTCCCCCCCGCTCCGCGCGCGTACACACACACACACACACACACACA